AAAGCAGTTCTTCCATAGCACACTCACCAAAGTGATCCCTGAGTAGTTCAACGCAGCACTTCCACAGCATGTTCACCAAAGAGATCCCGGAGTAGCCCAAAGTAGCTCTTCCACAGCACGTTCCCCAGAGTGATCCCTGAGTATTCAAGCTAGCTTTTCCACAGCACGTTCACCAAGGTGATCTCTGAGTAGCCCAAAGTGGCTCTTTCACAGCACGCTCGCCAAACTGATCCCTGTTCACCAAAGTAATCCCTGAGTAATTCAACGTAGCACTTCCACAGCACATTCACCAACATGACCTCTGAGTATTCACACCACATTCACCAAACTGATCCCTGAGTAGCTAAACCTAGCTGCCTAGCTCTTCCACAGCACATTCACAAACTGATTTCTAAGTAGTTCAACTTAGCTTGTCCACAGCAACCACAGTTTTTAGTAGCGCAACTTAGCTTCTCCACAGCACATTTACCAAAGAGATCGCAGGATAGTTGTAGACTTGTAAATGTACTTATCAAAGCATTTTTTTCCCCACCCGTAGGACTGTGGGGCTGTTAGATTTTAAGAACTTTGGACTTCAGTAGACTCGCTACTTCTGCACATCCACCAGAGTGGTCCCAGCGTAGCTCAGAGCAACCCAAAGAACACAGCACATCCACCAGAGTGGCCCACAGTGGCCCAGAGTAACCCTTACACAGCACATCCACCAGAGTGGCCCCGAGTAGCCCAGCGTAGCCTTTACGCCAGCACATTCACCAGAGTGCTCCCAAGTACCAGTTCCACAGCATATCCACCACAAGTTGACTTGGCAGGGGTGCGGGGTTGCCAGGCATTAAAAAATCGAAGTTCAGAAACCTCACAAGTAAGTATTCGATGTATGGTTTTGTTTTCAATAAAGAATCCTTTTCGCGCCGAACCGCTTTTCTCTTTTGAAGACCAATTCTTTGAGGGTGGGGAATTTCGAAGTAAAGTAATTTTTTTTTTCGAGGTTTGCTCCAGATGGCCAGCAGCAAGAGAGATTGCTTGTTTATATTGTAATTTTCAGCATTTCAGCAGCAGATAGAAGGCTTTGAAGTAGAGAGTGCAAAAAACGCGCGTTTCTACAATATGCATACTCTCCCCCCCCTCACCCCCCCTTCTATATATATATAACATTATATAACATCGTCTCATCTAGGAACATGTTTGCGGAAAGCTGTTTAAGTCTATTTCAGGAGGGGCTACGAAGAATGGCCTACGCAATTGTCGGCCAGTGCCCCAAGCCTTTGCATGAACATATTGAACAGATATTGTTGTCAAAAGTGTTGCCTTTCACGGACTCAGACGGCATCAACAACGAGCACAAGCATTGCAGAGGCACAGCATGAATCGAGCTCATGTTCTCTCCGATACAGTTTCGATCATTTAGTCTTGAATATATATCATATGGTGCCAGGGTGTTGCGGACCTGACAACTACATTACGGTGATCAAGTTCAGCAAAGAATATCAGTATCACATCCAAGCTTGTGTGTGAGCGGTTTGTTGGTCCAACATCTGAAACAGGGCGCGCCTCAAACAACAACCGAAGGGTGCAGCTCTCAAAGGGGTGTCAACGTTGCCAATCTGCCCCAAGGAAGAGGACACTGAGTTTCACAAATATGTGTTGCACTGGTTTCAATGCATGTTGTCCAAGGACAAGAGATCAAGTCCAAATCTCGACAAAAAATGACGCCCATATTTTTCGGTGAATCATTCGGAGGGCTTGACAAGAATGTGCGAAAGACTGCAGACAGGTCTTGAGCCTTTTCTTTTCATGTGCCGCCTTTGTCCAGTCAAGCACCAACTTTGCAAAGCACCCAACATGATCAATTAAACATAGCAGAAAAGCTGCAAGCAGACTTGCTAACTAGACGAAACGGACCCTGCAAGTCAGAGAAGGCCCAGCAGGTCGATGATATTTGTGTTGACCTGATTCCAAAAGCGCAATGGTCTTGGTAAAGATGTGAGGACAAAGCAAGGCCGGCAGAGCCCTCAGCATAGCTGCAGCCACCAAGCTAAGCTTTGAGGACGAATGGCACTAACAGTCTGCAAGCTTTGGCGCGTTGACCTCAGAGAAAGGGCTGAAATCGAAACTTGCGAAAGAGGACGCTACTAGGAGCAAGGATGCTACTAGGGGCTCCTTCCCTACTACTAGGAACAAGGACGCTACTAGGACTATTGGACTCCTGTGGAGCAAATGCGAGAAACATCAAGACGATGATACCACACCGAGGCCAAATCGGATGCTGGAAGCTGGCAGGACCCACACGTAGGACTCAATTTGATGCACAGGGGTCATATGCTTAAGTGAAGTGGTCATAGTTATTATTAGCAATTATATAGTGGGCTTAAACAATGCTTGCCATACTATATACCCGTTCAAACTTGAGCAAGGCGGCATTTGAAGTTGCGTTTGACCCAGCATCGATTCAAAGGATTCTTTGCCGTGGCAGCAATGTTTGCTTTCGTTCGGCCCTGAAACATTTTTGGATGTTGCGCGGAAGAAACCAAGCCACACGGAGGTTCATAGCCTCACAATACCTGTTGAGCCGGGGAGAAGAACAGCTGCGGCTGGGCTCAAAGCAGAAGTGCTGGCTTGAAGGACAGAGATATAAGCTGTTGTTACTTACTTGTTACTGTAGCTAAATCTGATCTGTCTTTTGGACCTTGGTTGCTTGGACGTTTAAGTCATTGGCTGGCACCCTTTCAGTCCCTCGAAAAAGCATGAGCCCCAACATAATTCCTTGGCAGCACCTTCTAACTCCAGGTTCAAAATTCCTACAGGAAGGACCACTCTTTAAACAGGCACAGAGATGACATGAAAGGACATCATTCTAGATGTTGTGATCCATTGTTTGAACAATGAGTGAACAAATAGTGCAGCTAAGTGACGGAGGCACCCCTCAGTAAGAGGTGATTTAGCTTTGGCGTCAGAGACCTTTGACGTGGATTATCGTGGATTCGTTGAGCTTTGAATGTCTCGCTGTCAAGGCTTCGGAGGTTGTCAAGGTGGTCAAAGATGTCACTACCAGAGCCGTACGGCCCAGAGCCTCCCAAGTCAAAGGCCTGTGCACACTGTGGATGTGATTAGATGCACATTCACATCATATTTGTGGGTCTTCCACGTTAGCAACAGGAGTGCCCTTGACAGGTTCTACTGACCCTGTGCATGTTTGTCTCAGCAGCGATGACGGAGACCTTCGCTCGTCTGCTGTTGTAATCCGCTCCGCAGGGTACCTAGCGTGATGATTGTGTGCTTTGGACGCTACTAGGGGCTCCTGGCCTTACTACTAGGAGCAAGGACGCCATTAGGTTGGAGGCGAATTGAGGTCATGTTTCCATCAAAGTTCCCAAGGCTTACGTCAATGCTGCCAACCCCGACAGGCAGAGTTGCCCTTGACTATTGTTTTGTAGCCAAGGTATTATATTATATGGTGGTAGTTTTTCATTGTGTTGTCCATGGCTTAGAGTCCGGTTAAAGCAAGCTGTGTGGTTGAAGCGAGCGGGTGTTGCAGAAAAACCCGCTGTCTCTGATTGTATGCAGACAATTGCAGGCATCGACTGAGTTTAGCGCAGTGCGGTCTTTGCCCATGCACTCCTGTTGCGTTGCCCTTTTTTTATCAGTGGCGCTCCGCCGCCACGAGCAAAAGCCCGCGAAGCAAAACTGTACAGCCTTAGCATATACAACGCTAGCACGTAATCATCGCAAACTTTCCTGCCTCAACCATGTTAGGAAGAGCTGTGGCAAATGGAATTGATGAACATTAAGCTATTAAGCTGTGCCGATACGCTGTCAGTCTTGGTCGCCTTTGGCACTGTGCCTTGCCAAAGAGCTCGCGAAGCATGCATCAACAGTTCCGAAGCAAAGATACAGTAATACAGAAGTACCACAGTAGACCAGCTATCGACATCAACAAAGATAGAGTGGTGGCTTCCTACAGAGCGACAGAGAACCTTTTCTTGCCAATAAACAACCAATTTCAACTTTGGCTCAGATGTGCGTCTAGTGTCTATTACTAGTGTGCTGTCCACTGAAGACTGAACTACTGAAATTATGGTGCCCAGAACCTCCGGAACCTCGCCAAAATCTTGCTGCTCATTCTTTGTTGGCTCCTGTTTGCCTTTTGCTCCAGTCTCCAAAAAGTAGAGAGACGTGTGCTGTTGACGAAGGCACGGCGTGCGTAGCAGCCACGTTTCATTGACATAATCGCATGTTTACCAATTTTTGTTGACTTCATCGCCTGGACTTCCTGGATTTTCACTGGCATGAAGTTGCTTCTGCATGGCTGAGTAGGGTGTGGAGGGCTGTTTAGATTGGCATGAGGTTGCATCGGCATTCCTGATTCCTGAGTGGGGAAGGATGGGGGCAGTGCGGCGTTCGTGGTCGTGTGTTCTTAATCGACTTCACATGGGAACAAAGTAAAGTTCAGAAACTGGCCCGGGTTCAGAAGCTAGGGTTCGGAAACTTCTTGCGTTCTGAGACTAGAGATGACTAGAGTTCAGAAATGCTTTCTCAAGGTCGGCCACTGGTTAAGTTATATTAGTTTCCCTAAGAATCTAGGAACCAAATCATTAGTGCGAGCGCTTCTTCAAGGAAGCTTCCCCCGCCGCCTTTAGTGCGGCGGGGGGAGCTTCCTTGAAGAAGCGTGAGCTATCCTGCGTCCTGTCGGTAGTAGCTATACTTGTAGGATCTTGTAGGTACTTGTAGTAGCTATCTAGCTTCTACGAGCTATCTAGCTACGGCCTTCCCCGTAAAAATAGGGTGTTTTAAATTTGGTTGGCTTCATCCTTGTTTTCGGGTGAAGCGCTTGGTTTACCGTGAAGAAGCATGAAGAAGCTGCATGAGGGGACGGGTGGGGTGAGCGGGGTGGTATTATAACATAACGACATGACCGCTATTTTCCACAGTACGAAGAGCACGTTAAAAGTTTCCGAACCCTAGGCTCCTAGCTTCCGAGCGCAAGTTTCTCAGTTTTTGAACCTCACTTTTCAGTTTGCACCCAAGTTTCTGAGCCCCACGTTTAAAGATGTTTAAAGTTTCCAAATCGAACGTTCTAGCTTCCAAACGTAATGCTGACCCTCACATTGACGTGCTGAATTTCGGAATTGCTTCGGAGGGGCTGAGGGTGGTATGGGGGAGGGAATTATGATGACGTATCATCCTCATCGACTTCACATGGGTCACCGGGTTTTCGTCCAACATGAAGTTGCTTTGGCATGGCTGAGTCGGGATGAGTGGGGGGTGGAAGGGTTGGGGTTGGGCTGCGTTGACCTTCGCGCCATGGACATGGTCATGTCATGGGTTTGCGTTGTGATCTATGAATATGGCGACAGAGGAACAGATGTTTGACCGCGAATTCACGGTCTTAGAAAAGTGGGTGCGGCCGTTAGTTTCCGGTACTTTAAGCTTGTACGACATTCATGCTTCTGGGTAGCAACCAAGCAACCAGATTTCTTCCTTCCCAGGCGGGGGCCGCATCAACACACCCAAAAAGTGCATTGATTATTATTCTTTTCTGTGGTGTGGCTTTAGCAGGTCATTCAATCGGCTGAACACTGCTAAACGACACGACCATCGTGTGTACCCAGTAGTTTTGCTTCATCGTTTTGTCCAGGTTGCGATTTCACTTCATCACCACTCCTGAATTGGTCGGGGACTATGCGAATGCTTCATGTTTGCTCAACGCCTGAGGGTCCAGATTATATACGTTGGTGTTGAGCAGGTTGGGTAGTTTGCTTTTGTTGTTGTTGACACATGAAACTGTTTATGTGCGTGTACGCTTGCACCCCTTCTGGGTCATTGTTTCATGCTCAAGCCATGAGGAGAGATATATAGACTCGCTGTTGTTTCACCAGGATTTGGTGATAGCCATGACATCCTTTGGTTTGCCACCGACGGAACAACAGAAGCAAAGCTACTTTCCAGGAATGTCATCGCGGCACTTCAGTCCAATTGGGGCATCTGTGTGCTATAGGGAGTGCATCATGAAAGAGAACACTGCACGCAGCAATGCTTATGACAGCGAGCAGATGAGGAGACATAGTGTGGCAGCAACACGCTCCGTTTGTTTTCCCTGCAAATCATTTGAGCAGCTATTCGCTTTGGGTTCACTGATTGTTGAGGCTGTTCAACTCTTGCTTGATATGATTACGTGTCAGGAGCAAGTCTTCTAGTTGTGATTTTGTCAAGTCATCATGTTGAAGAAACCGTGCTGCAAGATCCGTGTGCGGCCTATTGGAATAACATGCGCACAGGGGGTCATACAATATGCGTTCCATCCCGGCAGGCTCTCAAATTCTGCTGGGCAGCGGCTGCAGCTTGGCGAGAGCTTGCCAGGGCTTGGAAGCATCAATGCGGTGTACAGTGGAATGGGTTGGACACAAAGCTCTGTTGGACGTTGGCTTCCGCCAGGTCAGGGAAGTTTTGGAGAACTTGCGGTGACAGTGTCATCTATGACATAGTAGCACTGAAGAAGTTCCAACTTTACATAGAGATTCTGCTGCAACCACTTGAGATCAGCAGGTATGGTTTCAGCGGGATAGGCCATCTACACTGGAACGAAGTTCTGCTGTGAAACTCCTCACTCTTCTGAAACTTTCCTTCGTAACTTTCTGGCATTCTTCCGCAAATCCCCTTCAGCAACTAGACTTCAGCATGTTTTTGACATTCTTCAGACACTCTGCGGCGATCTTCCACAATTATGTATGGTAACGTCTGCGGAGTCTTCAGGAACTACAGTATCTTGTTCTTTCAGAAACTATGCTGCATTTTTTAGAAACTGTTTGGCAATCTTCACAAACTCCACAATGGGTTCTTCCAGAATAGGAGCATGGCTAGGGGTGCAGGGGTGTGGCAGAATCGGGGGTGTTTTTTGATGTTTTGGTGATGGCCATCAACTTAGTTTGTCTAGAATAGATATTGTGCGACATTTGGGGTGGGGGTCGGGTGGGACTTGGGAGGGCTTATCGACGTGCCCTGAGGCGGCTACAATTTGTGTTTCTTCATACATTTGCGATCTTAAAGTCCCGAAATTGTTGTGTGACGCTCGTAGGATTCCAGTTGGCTTGTTTAAAGCAGATCACTGCAGAGTTACATATATGAGTACCCGACAGAATGACTGTGAGTCAGCAGTAGTAGTCTTCCGCTGGACATCGCTTTTATTCGTTTTTCAAAAGTGATTTGACTGCAAAACCGATAGGGGCCCACCCAAAACCGATACCCTCTAACATGGGTGATGGCCTACCCAAAACCGATACCCCAAAGAGTTGTAGATGTATAAGAAAACCTGAGACCGATAGGGTACCACCAAAATAATCCAAAATACATGTAAAGAGATGCGGAAACCTGAAAACCGATAGGGGCCCACCCAAATTATAAATGTCCTTTGTGGGTATTAAGCAATATTGTCCGACGCTCATATAGATCATATAGTTACCGCTTGTTTCCAAAGACGACCATCAAAGATCATTAAAGTATCCGAAGATCTTTGCATATCAGTTACCGCAGAACAGTTTTCGAAGAAACGCGTTAAGTTTCCGAAGAAAGTCGGAGAGAAAAGTGTCCCAAGAAAAACGGTAAGATATCGAAGATAACCTTACCGAATTAGAACCTTGACCATTTACACCACACAAGAAGCAATGGAAGCTCAGTTCATCAGGTACCACAGGCAATGCGGAATCTCAAGGTGTTGTCCATGCGGAAGCTCAGCTTGATCAACTGCGGCAGGCCCTTGGACTGTACTTTTAGTCGGTTCGGCCAGTTCGACCGTCAATTGATCTTGGGTGATCGTTGTTGATGCATTTAGCAGGACAAACTTGAGTGCCAGTGCCCATGCAATTATCGATCCCATTCCATCTCTATCCCTCATCAGGCTTCCAACCCACGTGCTTCACAAGTGGCAGATATGTGGCGGACGAGCAGTTGGTCAGATTTTCGCCCACGGAGCGTCAGCACAAGCCTGAGGAGACAGCGCAACTTGGTGAAGAGACCAACCAAATTCATTACCAAAAACAATTACTTTACTTCGAGTGATCCCCACCATGGCATTTCAAAACAGCCACGTTGACATCACCCTCGTTGTGTATTTCAGCCCATAGCACAAGTCCTTCAGCGCCAAGTCTTACTGTTTTGTCCGAAGCGAATGCTTTCATCAGGAGACCTGTGCTCAACTAATAATACAACTCAGATGATTTCAGTAGTAGTCGTATTGGGCTGTCCAAAACTGGGAAACTTCCAGGGCCCGAGCAGTAGTAGTCGCAGTAGTCGTAGTAGTAGTAGTGGTAGTTGTTGTGGTACTACTACTACTACTACTACTACTACTACTACTACTACTACTACTACTACTA